CTGACTTTCTGAACAGTACAATAAATACAAACTAGTGATGTTCCAGGCCTCTTCAAAGCCCAAATTTAAAATACAATAACAGTGCTGCACTGTGACAACGGCACAACTTGGGAACACATTCAAGTCACACCACACCAGTAACTGCTTGGCAATAAAAAGAATCACCACTGCTGTATCATATATGTAAAATAAACCCTTCTTTTGTTATATCCAGTTTATCTTTAGCTGTGGCTCCTGTAGATAAATCTGTACAAAACTCACATATGTGTGGATGTATAAATCATATTATCTTTTATGTAGTAGTGGAGGTATGATAGGAATGCAAACATTGCACATTATTTACTTATAAAATAGCTTTGTCCTAATTACACTCTTATCAGCTCTGTGAGTATCTTGAGTATCACTGTCATAAACAAATATCTAATCTATAAAATAACACAATATCTCAAGACAACAACAAATAAAATCTGAAGAAAACTGAAAAAGAAAAAATAAGTTTTTGTTTATGCACAGTTGTATGTATTAAGGGGTGCACCAGTGATTTTAGTATAGCACGACAGTAATGACGATGATGTCTTCGAGGTAATGATGATGTCATTTTTTCAAAGTGGTGCGACTCTTGCATAAACTTGACTTCATGTGTAAAATCAATATAATCTCCCTTTGAAAAGAAATTTCCTTAACGTTGAGAAATCCCAGGTTTTCCCATGAAAACAGTGCTATTATAATTCTGGAAAATAATAATGTTAAAATTTTGGGAAAACCTTCAACTGCAATCAACAATGATAAATCACTCTACCGTGGAGTTAGCAGTAAAAACTGAGGTTAGCATGCCTCACATGTATAGTTTCTTTTATGATCTTTACTCCTGTCTAAACAGACAAACTTCATTGTTCTAAGACAAGGCACAAAGAGAGTACCACTGCATACCTGACTGGATGTATGTGATGAGCTGATGTGCTGCTGCAGGGTTAGCTACGTCAGGTTACATACAGGAGGTTGTTTACCTGTGATTCCAACTCAATCATTTTTAATGAATTTCAAGCTGCCTGCACCTTTCAAATGTACTGATGTCCAGGTTTTAGGGAAACAAAAACAGGTGCATAGAACATAATGGGTGGTTTACTGGAGGCTGGGAAATTACAATGCACTAATTTTGCATTAATTGCGCAGACCCTTTAATATTGACGTTACAGTGTAGATAGCATTTATACTTTCTATACTTATAATCCATCATTGAACAGTATTGCTCCTTTGGTCATCATGAGATGAGATGTCTTTCAAGTTGCTTGTCTTACTTTTGGATATTATAATAATTGTATCATTTCTAATTCTATTTATTCTGTTCTAGCTTAGTGATTTTATTGTATCCGTCCAACTCTCTAAATGGTAAATTCCTCACCTCTTTCCTACAGATTCATTACATTGGTAATCTATTTCTGTTGTGTGAACACACGCTTGGATGGGTTGGGTTGCCAGAGCAACTGTGATACCAGTTATCCAGGATTATAAATCTCTCCCAAACTCTCTTCTTTGTGCTTTACACAGCTACATCTTCACTTTTCATGTGAACAGCTGAGTGCAACACAATAAATGTCTGGAGACAGTGTCTGAAAATGTGTGCCCTTGTCCCCAAATGTCGCATCACCCCCTTCTCTATCAGCCGACTCGTCATGGCTGCTCCTTTTCAGGCTGACCCAGCCTGTTATACAGTATGTCAGTGTTTCAGCCTAGTGTCTACCACAACCAGTCGGTTTCTGGAGTGTAATAATCTTGAAATGCCTGTTTTAGTAAGAATATTAATAAAAGTGCTAAATTCTGTATTAATATACTGTTATCAAATGTGGATTCTCCATAAACCTATGCTTAACTTTTTTTTTTTTTTGTTGCTTTATTTATTATCTGATTATTTGTCATTTTCTAATAGAATAGAAGACCATACAAACACCCAACTAATTAGCTTACTTCTGAAGATAACACTGTGCACTTAATTGAATTCAGGTTTGTCAGAGTTAAAGGGTTATTAATTCCTTAATCCCTAATAGCTGGCCTCAGAGACAGTAACATATTACTGATTACATTATTTGTAAATGTTTTAATACGAGGAGAAGAAACTTTCTGGGATTGTAGCACATTGGTATGGGATTGTTAAATGAAATTTTTACTTTGCATTTTGTACAACTTGAATGTTTAAAGCTTTTATGGTAGTATTAGCAACATTTATCCAGGTGAAGGTTATTTATTTATTTTGTGTAGACTGCTGGAGATTGAGGTAGTCGTCCTGTAGCTTTTGTGTGGATTATGTCATGATGTGTTTAGTAAGGAGTGTTTACACTGACGTTTGTCCGTTTGCGATGTGGTGGAGGTAGATTTTTTGTTAATGTTTGAAGGCACAGTTTGTCAGTGACTGCTGGATGTCTTATATTACAGTATCCATCATATGGTTTTGCTATAGAAGCACTATAACTGTTGTTGCTTTACAAAAGCAGTTACCACAATTAACATATCAATGAAATGGTATTAGGCTACTTCAGAGGTCAATGGAGAGAGAGGCAGAATACCTGATACTGTCAATCATTGACACGGTTGCAATCATTAATGCAGCATGAGATGATAAATCCTGATTATACAAGTTTTCCACAAAGCTCAATGGCCCATTTCATGGGATTAATGATGAGGTTTTTTATGCATGTTTATTAGAGAATGGTTCTATTGTGTTTATTGTGTTCATGTGATTTCTGGCAATTGCAAACATTACTGCTTTACTTGATTATATGTAATAAGATAGTTTTTTTTAATATAATGATGATCAAAATAAAGTAAATCATAAAATTATCACAAAATTATCAAGCTTAAAAAAACTCCATGTATGTGCATTTTCACTTGATAACTGACTGTCAAAATTGTAATGAGTTCATTTTCTGCCAAGACAAAAATTGTCTTTTGTTATTTTGGACAAAGAGGGACAGGTCATAAAGACCACAATGGTTTAGCTTCTATAATCCCTAACAGTGTCCTTATGGAGCCATTACTAACCTCCATAGCTAGGGAAAACAAGGTCTTATAGATTAGATGCAGGGAAAAGCATAACTTAGAGGGAACTGTCCAAATCTCATCTGTTTCTCCTTGGCTCATCAAGCTTCCATTAAATACTGCCTGAGATATCAGGATCTTATTATAGATAGATAGATACTTTATTCATGTGTCCATTAGCTCATTGTTGATAATAATAATAATAATAATAATAATAATAATAATAATAATAATAATAATAATAATAATTATAATAATTATAACAGTTGATAATATATAAACAATAATAACTGGATTGATCCACTTCCTTTGGCTGAGTTGTTGTACAGCCTGATGGCAGTGGGAACAAAGGATCTCCTGAACCTCTCTGTTCTGCAGCACAGTGAGATGAGATGTTTGCTGCTATGTTGAAGGTTTGTGGTTCTCTCAATCTGAAATTGCTCCCTGAAGCTCTTGACTTAAACACACTAATATGTAGTCGACTGGTAGTCACTAGTTCAAGCCAGTCAACTAGTTGTTGTAGATTTATAATATTAATTTCATTATTAAAATATATGTTTTTGAGTCCAGGGCTGAGAAAAAGTTTTATAAGTAACACTCTTCATAATGGAAAAGTAATGCACACCAAAGGTTGTGTTGAGGTGCTGATCACTTGATATATACTTCAGAGCAGGAAGAAAGCATCACACACTCTGGCTCCATATGTATTTTTTCTTTTATTCATACTGGCACAACAGGCCTCAGGCCCAAGGGCTGAAACATCATCCATTTGAATAACAGAATACATATTGAGCCAGAGTGTGCAACACTTTCCTCCTGCTCATAAATGAGATTGTTTACATTGTGCTACATACAGAACTGTAATAATAAGCTTTTAAAATATGAATTTTACAAGCGCACGAATGACACCAGCTGCTTGTTAAAGACACCAGTAAAAGCAGTGATGATTGTGAATATGTTGCAACAACCAACAAGGAGAACATTAGAGCGAGCAGCCATGCTAAGTAGCTAAAGTTTGGCTACTTAAATGTTTCAAATGAGAAGCGGATATGTTTGGGATTGACAAATGGGTGAAAGTTTGCCTGCAGAGTTTGCATCTCACCTTCTTGCCTCTCACAGTCATCCTGCACTTTGGCTGTCTTGCCTGACATACAGTTATGTACTTCCGACCAGAATGTGCTGCGTTATTATGTGTTTCGATGTTTGAGGTAAAGTAAGAGTAAGTACGAGTTGCCAAAAGACTGCTGTGACCCAGGAGTTGTTGTTGGACTCTGCTTGTGACATGTTGGGAAAAATAAAGAAATTGTTGCTGCTGTTCATCGTACTTCGTCTCCATGTCAGGTTTACTATTTTATTACCAAATGTGCCCAGTTAGGCGAACCCAAGACACTCAGTTACATTACTATGCAATAACTGCAGGGACCAGCTGTGTTTGACTCTGACTGACTGAGTGACTGAGTGTAGCCAGTTCCTGTGGGGTTTAATTTTTTTTCCCAGTAACCAATCAAATCTTGATTGATTCAATTAATATGTAAAACTGATCTGCTGATTAAACTAAAGTGTAAAAAAATACAGGTAATTGTTCATTTGAATTTGTTTCCTTGCTCTCTTTGAATGTGAATCCCAATGGAGCGCTTATTTTCTGCTGTGTCTACAGTGGTAACAGCAGGTACAATGTTATGATAGCCTATGGGAACAATGGCCTGGACTACCATAAGCTCAAGGTTGCAGCTCCAGTGGAGCCAGCTTGCTCTCCCTGATTTGCTGAGCATGGGCAATAGCAATTTTAATTGTTTGCCATAAAGTTGAGACACTGCCTGGAACTAAGGTTGCAATGTGTAACCGTCATTCCAAACAGTGACCACGTTACACTTATAACATCAGATCATTGATAGTTGTCTCTTCATTGGGACCACAATGCAACATATTATGGCTTTGCTTGGTTCATTTCTGGGTAGCAATATGACTTAGTTATCCCATGCCTGATACACTGAAACTGCCAATGAACTAGCCCTTTCTGACTCTTCACCATTACTGCCTTTCTTAGGTACAGCTGCCATTTCCAACCCTCTATCTAAAAGACTTCTCTCCGAGGGGACCATCGCACACCCCACCCTCGCATTCCTGTTCACCTCCACTGTGTCAGCCAGCTTGTTGTCGTTATGGACCCGATTTCTGAGCCCCAAGACAAGGCGGTTGTGATGGCTAGTGGCATCTCTAAAGTCAGTACCCCCACAAGGCTCTTGCACAGACCGTCCTTTCCTGCCCCACCTGGAAATCCTTCTCAACAGCTTACACTGCATGAGGCAACAGAGGGGCCTGGATTTGCAAACCGCCTGGAAGCCCCTCTTAAAGTTTTCATTGTAGTAGCCATAAATGATGGGGTTGACACTGGAGTTGGAGAAAGCCAGCCAGTGAGCAAAGGGGAAGATGTAGCTGGTCAGAAGGTCCAGCTGGTCGCTGTCCAAGCCTGCATAATCCGTCATCATCATTAGGGTCCAGAGTGGCAACCAAGACAGCATGAAAAGCAAAGCCACCACGATGAGCATCTTTATCACCTTGATCTTTTTCTGTGATATCATTGGCAGACCCCCCCTTCTACCTCCCAGCTGGACTGCATTCGCCAGCTGTGGCTCTCTGTTTGCAACCACATAGGAACAAAGTTTGACTCCGATGCTTCCGTACATGATGGTGATGACAGTAAGGGGCACCAGGTAGATGTGAGCAAACAGAACTGTTGTGTAGACCTTTCTCATCTGAGGGTTGTCAAAGTTTTCGTAGCAGGTGTACAGGGGGACTGTGTGGTTGAAGTCATCATTGTATACCATGTAGTGGGAAGGAAATTGCTCCACAGTCAGTGCCACTGCAGCAGGACACATGATCACCACTGCTAGCACCCAGATAAAGACGATGGCTGCCTTGGCAACGAGTACAGTTGGCTTGGGCTGTAGAGGGTACACTATACAGCGAAACCTGTGGTAAATAAGAAGAGCATTGCCACTAACCACAGCACCAGTTCTAACTGATATTAAGTATCACAGCATTTACTAACCTTTCCACAGAAATGGCCACCAGGGTGAAGACTGATGCAGACACTGACACGCCCTGCACAAAGCCGCTCATCTTGCACACAGTATTGGAAAAGGGCCAACCTGTTGAAGAAATGACAAACACTCAGTCCAGTAGTACTCAAGCCATAAGCTCAGTGCTAATGCAGTGAAATTAATGTCCCTCTCTGAGGATTTTTATAAATCCCTAAGAGTAATTCAAAGTTGACTCATTCATTACTTATTACAGAGTGATTACAATGAAGCAGGAAGAAGCTTTAGGCCGTCCACAGATATTCGTATACTTGGGCTTTTAGTTTTGAAATGGATGTAGACAGATTTGGGTGAAATGCAGATTGATGTAGGTTTCAGAGCTGGATTTGTTAAGTTTAATGAATCTAGGTTTTGTCTACACACATTACCCTCTCATATAAGCGAGGTGTGACCATTAGGACATTGTCCCCTCACACTTTTCTTCCTTCCTTTCCACATGATTATTGTTTGATGCTCCCTGTCACTGCAGAAAATGAAGCTTCTAACACACAGGATCATTAACCTACCCATTTATTTTCTACATTTGGCATAAAAGTGCTGGAACAGAGCAAAGAGCACTTTGACACTCGTTGCTGCTGGAAAAATGTTTTATGGACTGCTGAAACTCAGGTTGAATTGTTTGGGAAGAATATATAGTGTTCGGGTTGGGATAATGACATTTATCGTTTCTGTATGGGTCCGGAACCACCTTTCAAATAATAGATGAATCTGGTTTGGCTTGGCGTCTGGCATTTCTCTGTTGGCATGGGTTGGAGTCCCAGCTTTCAAGTAATAGAGTGGTCTGGTTCTGTTTGGTACATTTCTGGGTCAAACTTTTTTCACCAGCACTGTGAATGTTTAATGGATGAGCTCAATAAAGACACAGAGGATTATAATTGTTAGTGTGTTATTAGTTTAGGCACATTGTCTCTGTCTATACTTGTGACTTAGATGAAGATTGGTTTACATTATATGAATAATTAATTCAGAAAACCAGGTCATTCAAAGGGTTCACATACTTTCTCTTGTCACTGTATTTAGTTCACCACAGAGATGGTAGTTGCTTTGAGTAAGTCAGAAATCACTCATCCCACTGCACACCTGCTGTAGGTGGCTCCATCCCAATGTGTCTCTCTGTGACATCTGTTTCTATAGAAACCAAAAGATTCATTGAATGAATATCTGCTCAGCCTACAGCAACACCCATCAGTCATATGACTGGTGGTAATCAGCAGGCTGCAGCACCTTTGGGCAGATGCTACCAGAATATTACACGTTTAAAAAATTCACTTGGAGGTTCAATTGTGGGTGAAGCTTATTCTCCCAAACGATACATTGAAAAGACAGGAAATTAAACCACACTGACCACCCTTTCTCCCTGTAAAAGCTAACGTAATCTTTAATGGTATAGTTCCACATTTACATTTTTGTTCTTAAAACCAAATGAGGTCACTAAGTATGAAGCAGACTTACTTCACTTAACATTTCTATAATGCCATAGTGATAGGATTGGGCAACATGTTAATTTTCCAATCAGCCACCGTCAGACCAACAACTGGCGACTGCCAATATATTTGCACAGGTGTGTGTGTGATGAGTGGGTCGAGTGCAGCCTATTGCACACAATGTTTCTCTAAATTGTTTATAACTTGGAACGCTTCTTTGTCACTTTTTGACACAACCTGCCTGAACACATGGTATTTTGTAGTAAGCTTACCTGTACCCGCCCAATCCATGGGCTATGGGTTGACCCCGTACATCACTACTGCATAATACAGCCCAACAAGTGCAAGTTTCTTTTACAGTGTAATCATCACCAAGATCAATTTCTCAAGGAGGCAGACCATTAAATAAGCAAAATAAGAAAAAATTCCCCAGAAATTACCTTCCCAAATAAGAAAAGAAAAAAACAACCCACGATTGACTCAGTCATTTCTTCCACACTATAATTTGCTTTCATGTTTAAATTGATGTATTGTGTATTGTGTAACTATAATATGGTACCCATAGGTGGGCAATTGAGTTTGCAAAGGCAATAAAGAAATTAATACAAAAAAAAATACAAAAATGCCTCAAATCATTATGGAATCAGTAATAATTGTATAATAGATTATTTTAATTAGATTTTTATTACAAAAAATAAAAATATAAACAGAATGATCTTGTTTAAAAAAAAAAATCATTCATAAATGAAACAAAACACAACAAATGAGTAAACTTAAATCATTAATGAAGATGGCACTAAAATTTAAATTAAAGCTACTCTGATCAATGTATTTGTGTTATCAGTGGTTCAGTATCAGTGGCAGAACAGTGTTAAACTAGCTAAAAAGAGAGTGAATATTGGATGTGGTGGGCAGAAACACTAAATATTGACTAACATGAATTAATAAGCCGCTCTTCCTCTTACTGTCACCTGGTGCTGCTCTTGGTGTGAACTGTTGAGTCTCTTTAAATAACATTTAAGAGAGAAGGTCTAGACCTGCTCTATGTGGAAAGTGCCTTGAGATAACTTATGTTGTGAATTGTCGCTATACAAATAAAAACGGACTTGACTTGACAGTCCAAAGAATTACACAATAGGTTAATTGGTGAGTCTAAAAAGCCCTATGCGTCTAAGTGCCCATAGGTGTGAATGTGTGCATGTTTGTCTCTATATGTCAGCCCTGTGATAGACTGGCGACCTGTCCAAGTTGTAAACCGCCCCTGTGCAATGTCAGCTGGGATTGACTCCAGCCCCCCTGTGACCCTATAAGGATAAGCGGTATAGATAATGGATGGATGGATGATTTCTTGATTCAGTGGATCTCAAATTTCTACTTCAAAGGAACACAACAGGACAACGACTGAGTCTAAATACAGAGATTTATCAACTACTAACTAATACAGGTTAAATGCAATATCTGATAATCATCAAGATGAAAAATGATGCAAAATCAGGAATTAATATTATTCTATCTTGACCCGATCTACTTTTAAAAGGGTGTAACTGAAGGTACGTTGTTGTGAGCCACGGAGCCACAAAATATATAAAAATCATTGATCAGTTTCAGTTACATTTGACAATGAGCAGCAGTGAAAGAAAGGAGAACAGTTGTTGTTTCGTGTATGTTTCAGTGATATTAGTAGGTGAAATACACCTGTAAAGGGCTGATGGTCTCTCAGCCTCAAGACCAATTTCCAGGTTGTTGGGATGGGGAGTGCTTCATTAGGAGTTGGTGTGACTTTATATCAATCAACACAAAGTCACATGTCCTTGTGAGGCTGCAGTGCTGTCCGTGGAATAAGTCTATCTTTGGGACAAATCCCAGAAAATTGTCCAGCTCTGATAACAAATAATTGTATGTCATCCAGCACTTGAGGAAGAGGAGGAAAGGTCTGAAGGGGGGTTGCAACCATGGCTGAAGAATTCAGAAACTCTAGCAAAGTGCAATCACGTCTGTTCTCAGACTTTATACTTGCAATAATGTAATAGAAAATGATGTTGATGTGGGAGATACTAAGCCCATCACTCAGTGGTTCAACCGGATTTCTCCAGAAACGTGAACAATACTAGACTCAGAAGCTTCATGCATGTTACAAAATGGTTTTGCTGGACCTTCTTTATCTAGTTGGGCCTCTCCCTGTCTCTTGGTTAGTAAAGCTGACTCCACACATAGGCCCTGCACTGATATCCAAAGGGTTAATCCAGTGACAAAGCCAGAGTCCTTTCCTCTGCCAAGGGTGGAAGATTATGTTGATCAGGTGGGGGCAGCCAAATATGACAGCAAGTTTGATCTTCTTAAGGATTACTGGCAGGTTCCCCTTTATAAAAGAGCCAGAGATATCATCAGGCCTGTAATCTTACACAGTAATGCCATCTGGGCTGTGAAATGCCCCAGCCACATTTCAGAGGTTAATGAGAAAAGTTGTGTGTGGGTTGGAGGGTTGTGCTGTTTATTTGGATGGTGTGGAGATTTGTAATGACACATGGGAATAACACCTTAACAGGCTCTATTTGACAGACTGGTTTGGACCCGCTTGACTATCAACCTGTCCACATGTGAGGTTGCAAAAGCTACAGTAACCTATTTGGGTAAGGCTGTGTGGGGCAAGGGGAAGTTTTTTCCATTCTGGTAATACGAACATTCCCTATTCCCTGTGGCAGTTGTAGCATTTCCTGCTTTGACTGCTTATTACCGTCTCCAAATTGTCAACAGTTATCTGACCTAGTGAGGAACCTGTTATCTACAGCTCCTGTGCTTGCGACTGAGGTTAATCAACCATCACCAGATTCACTCTGACATCCTGTCTGTATGGATATTATAAAAACTACTACACGACACTCCAGAAATATATTCCACGAAACAAGCAAGTTATATTGTCTTGCTGTCTGTGATGTCCAGCTGTAAAGCATATTTAAACCACTTTACTAAATTTAAGGCAGGCCTACAGTGGCTACTGTAAGTTGTACAATGAAGGAAAAAATAGAATTAAAATGAATACATGGTTATAACACCTGGCCAGGACAGCCACAAGTAAAAGTGTTACACTGATAATGCCTACAGCTCAGAACAAAAAAAGGCCGTTTAATGTGGAGGCGACGTTTTTCACTCATACAGGAATATGAATAGTCAGGTTGTGTTCTACTGTATATCAGATCCTGAACATGATAAAAAAAAACACAAAGGTTAAGACATTACATGTAAAGGTTCTAATGAAAAGACCAGAGGTGGTAAAAATTATTATAATTATGAATGTGTATATCTATTGAAAATAGGTGCAGGTGGCGACTGTAGTATCGAAGGAGCGGGATCCATCTTTGCAGTGGGATTCCCTGGTGTCTCCGGATGGAAAAAGACTCCCAGAGCTTCTCCGGATCACAGCCCCTCCAACAGCCTGCGACGAGATGAGGAAGAGGACTTTGTCAGGGACCGCTTGCTCCATTTCCTTGTAGTTGGCTGGGTGATCACCTGAGTGATGTCTGCAGGTGGTGGAGGTGCTGCCAAGTCTGGTGAGAGGGGGATCAAAGCGCCGTCAGACAAGTGGGATGGGGCCTCGTCAGAGACAGCCGCGTAGTTGTTTGAGAGTTC